CTCGCCAGCCCCAGCCGCCCGAGGGGGCTGCCCTGAGGAGCCATCACTTGCTGCTGGGCTCCAACACTCCTTAGATTCCCAAGGGGCTTCTCAAAACGACCACGAGCCCAAACCACCACGCTGCTTTTGGAAGGATTATCCCGGGTCAGAGAGAGGCCCTGGCGCTCAGGGTGCTGTCAGCTTAACGCCAGGCTGCAACGGAATATGGAGGAGCCTCCAACCACCTGATTAAATGTATCTGAAAATGTCTTTAATTAAGAGACACGAACAATAAGAGAGCATTTGACCTTGCTAAAATTCACTCCATAAGCTGCAGCACAGGTAAAACACCACCACTTATCTTTGCAAGCCACCTTAATTAACCCTTTTTAATTAAAGCAACGTTCATTAAGGCTCGCCCTTTCCCCGCGAGGCTGTTTGGCGATGGGGCATGGCGGGGCTTCGCACGGAGCCCAGGACAGAGCTGTGAGGGGCCCGTCCCCCCGTCCCTGGCGATGCCCTTACCGGTGTTGTGAGCCTCCAGCTGGGACAGGGAGTTGACGGTCACTTTGCAGGTGGGACAGTACAGGTGCTGTTTGCTCTTCTTCCCCTCCTTCTCGCTCTCGGGGGCCGAGCTGACGCTGCTGCCCGACTCGGCTGCCTGCGCCTCCACGGTGGAGGAGGCCACGCTGGTGGCGTCCGAGGTGCCCTCCGACAGCTCCGAGGCCGGCGGGGAGCCCAGCGGGGCGACGCTGCCCGACAGCTCTGCGGGCGACTCCTCGGTGCCAGGCATCAGCCCCAGGCTGCTGCCCTCACCCTCCGGCTCCTGCAGGCCGTTGGCTTGAGCTGGCGGGAGGGAAAGGAAAGGGGGAAAGGGGAAAAAAGGAAGAAATGGGCAGAAAGGGAAAGCTCTCTGGGCTTGAACGCGTTTTCTGGCTTTCAGGGAGCACCCCCGTCCTCCCCCAGACCATCTCAGGCACCGTCTGCTCACGTTCATCCCCGTCGAGGACGGCTCGTCCCAAGGTCTCTCCCGTCACGGCTTTTATCTGCGGCTGGTGGCAG